GAGAGAGAGAGAGAGAGAGAGAGAGAGAGAGAGAGAGAGAGAGAGAGAGAGAGAGAGAGAGAGATGGTCGTGGGCCTTGTCCTGGCTCAATATCCATTCGGAGGGGCTTCAGCCTGGCTCCTTTTGACCGGCAAGTGATAGAAATACATACAACGACCCCCGATTTCTTCCTTTGGCCGAAGGACCCCTGAACAGCATGGATTACTCCTTGTCAAGGAGAATTGACTGTCAGATAACCTATTCCTTCGGTAGATTACTCTGAGTCTTCATTTCTGCTTCGAGCCACTCCAGTCTTTTCTTTGCTGCACTCGTAACTTGGCTGCATTCACACCTTCAGGACATCTGTTATAATTCGAACGATGGTAGTTACGATAAAAAAAGAAGACTAGCATGGCCCCTGTGCAAGGATGACACACGTAAATTCAGAAACGGTCCATTTCTTTTACCCAAATAAAAGGGAAAAACTTGACTGGAGTCACAATGTATCTCCATCTTAACCATTTCAAGTTTCAGCCCGCTGGGACCACACTGCTGCTCTGACTGCTCTTTGTTTTTCAATGGTCTGAGAACACCTCCCGATCGGAATCGTTCAGGGTGAAGCTATCCTGATTAGGTAGAACCATGTCATTATTTCTACGTGCAGGTTGTGGGGCAGCTTGATTGACAAAAGGATAAGGAGGGGGAGGGACCACATCCCTCTGACTCGGTCCCAAAATGAGTAGCCCCTCTGAATAGCTCCTCTCAGCCGAAGTTGTTCCCTTGTGAACTCCTAGAACTGTTATTGTGGGCCGGATGGGATATATTCCTCTGGTACCAATTGGTCTAGCTCAGTTGGTACACCCATGAACAGACCCAAGTTCCAATCCAGATGCAATCACATCTCCCCCTTTTCCATGCCATGGGTCGTCTGAGGTTGTGCAGTATGTGTACTTATCCGGGCCTATCAGGATGGGTCCCTTTTTCACTGTCTCACTTTAGCTCCTGGTGGGTGGTCAAGCTGAAATTGTGCTAATGTCGTTTGAAGGTTGTTCTCGTCCTTTAGCCCAAACGGCCTGTTTGCGGCTTATCCCTCTTCTAGCCCTGAGCCTTCAGGGTCTTGGCCCCCAATTCATCTACTCTGGTCATCCCTGTCACTTCTTGTAGGGGAAGCAATCCGGTCCTTGAATTTAATTCTGGTGCCTTCTATGATTCCTAGGCTATCTAATAGTTCTCACGTCCCTCTCTTTGTCTGTCGAAGCATTTATTTGACTTTTGGTATAAGACTCCATAATGATTTGATTTCTGTCTCTTATTCTGTTCTTCATCTCTAGTACTAGACCTTCCGCTAGTGTCTCTATACTCTCGAAGATGGTCCTACATCTTTTCCTTTTTCCTTTTCCTTTTGTAAATGAAAACATTTCTCTCTTATTCTGCTCTTCATCTCGAGTTTTTAATATAATGATCTGAGCGTTGTCATTAAAAAAGAAAAAGAAAAAAAAAATGGAAAAGAAGATGTAGGACCACCTTCGAGGGTATAGAGACACGAGCGGAAGGTCTTACATCTTCTTAGAATCACGTGTCTAACTTCAAGCCTGTTTTTATATTCCTTCCACCTTCTTTTCCAAAGTTTCCATAACACCTCTTTTCTGATTCCATTAAAAATATATCCACTGAAGGCGGGCAACGTTTCTGTTCGTGGGCTTTTCGTTCCCGAGCTTGCAATGACTGCCCTGTCTGAGATTCGTGCCCAGGGTTTTATTATTAGTATAGTTACTATTTAAATTTTAAATCACCACTACCTCCGATCCGCTTTTTGCCGATCCTGAATTTCACTGCGCACCAATGGGGTGCTGAAGCGCCAGCGCAGGAGTTTTGTTTTCTTTTGGCTGGTGCAGCCAGCCTCTGTGGTCCCGTAGCGCCAGCCAGCGCCAGCCTCCGCCAGCCTCCGAAGAATGAGGAGTAGGCTACTTTTGAGACTTAGGCATCACAGCCTGAAAGGTAGTGGTTGTTTAACAGTCTTTTTAATTAATAGTGCTGGAAATCGGGTCCAGCGTCCCTCACATCAAATGCTGAAGTGCCAGCACAGCATTTTTGTTTTCTTTTAGCTGGCGCTGCCAGCCTTTGTAGTTTGGTAGTGCCCAGCCTCCGCCAACCTCCGAAGAATGCAGAGTAAACTACTTTTGAGACTTAGCATCACCGCCTGAAAGGTAGCAGTGGTTTAACAGTCTTTTAAATTAATATGCTGGAAATCGGTCTTTTTAATTAATATGCTGGAAATCGGTCTTTTTAATTAATATGCTGGAAATCGGGTCCAGCTTCCCTCACGTCAAATGCTGAAGCGCTAGCGAAGCATTTATGTTTTCTTTCGGCTGGCACCGCCAGCCTTTGTGGTCCGGTAGCGCCAGTCTCCACCAGCCTCTGAAGAATGCAGAGTAGGTTACTTTTGAGACTTGTCTTTTTAATTATTAGTGCTGGAAATTGGGTCCAGATTCCCGCACATCAAACGCTCACAAGCTATGCATCTCCCCATCATTGCCGAGAGATCCGGAGACAGTGGCATTGATTACTTCCTATCTCGAAGGATTTACACTGCTCCACCCCTGCTTTACAATAATTAACTGTGACTACTAGAACTAGATCGGATCTCGACAGCATTGATTGCTTCCCTTTGGAAAGGTGTGAGATCGTAACTAGAAAGTTTGTGCTTTACACTCGTGTTCCCTTAGGCTGCCCTTTGCTATTCGATCTAGAGCCTGGCTGTCTCAATTTGCTGAAGCACAGTCCGCCCCTGCTATGTGTTCTCTTGCCTATCCTGCCTATCCTGCTTCTTAGCAACAATAGACTCTCATTTGTGAGCCTCATGCGGTGAGCGACGTACCAGCATACACACCGGCAGATCGAAACAAAGACAAGCAGGCAAAGAGACAGGGCGACAGAGCCAGGGAGACACACACACACACACACACACACACACACACACACACACACACACACACAGAGAGAGAGAGAGAGAGA